GCAAAGCTATCGTCGATATTTATCCGATCGACCTGATCTTTTTCTTTTCGTAACGCGCACGTTGCGTTTGCGCATGAGAAAAAGAGAGAGAGAGAGAGAAAGAGAACACACTAAAATCAAGGAAATAAGGTCAAAAAAAAATTTAACGGAATTGTTTCCGAATTAATTAATTTCGAGACTTCAAGTTCTGTTTAAAGCGCCTTTCACCGTCTTTGCCTCGTAACGGTAACACGGATGGATGCTGGAAGCAATTCGACAGATGCCCTAACGGTGCGTCCTATATTTTCTTTGTGTTACACTGGATGCGTCACGTGCCGTTCCCGCCGTCGTCGTCGCCGACTCGGTGTAATCGTTGAAGTTGAAGACCGCCTCACACAATGGCTTTGTAATGACCAGTTTTCAAAAGAGAACAAAACCGCGTGCATTCAAGACATCGAGAAAGTACGTGAAAGTGCAACTGAGCAAAAAATCTATTCGGCTTTGTTGTTATTTGTTTTTAACATTATTCCTCGCCCTGTGTCAATTGAACCGACATGAAGAATCCGCGTTCGCAACGAACGAGCGATAAAACGAGCGATAAATGATCGGAAACAAATTTAGTGATTGTTTTTATTTTGTTCTACAAAATAACAAAAATAAAATAAAACGCATGATAAATGCACGACGAATGATAAATGTACGGAGAGAAACATCTTTGTGCGCGTTTAAAATCTTATCAATTCTTGTAAAAAGTTAATAATGTGTCGTTTGATTTACAAATTTAATAAGAACATTAACAATCTTATTGCGCATAACCGCGGAACTATGTTCTTTACTTTATTATAATTTTTTATTATAGTTTAGTTTTTATTGTTAGTTAGATTATATAAGAGAGAATAAAATTGCACACATTTGCATGATATACAAATTGATGAAGTTTTTTCACACCGCTGATTGTTTTTTCAACGTTTCAAAGCAATCAAACAAACACAAAAAAAACCGAGACGTTTTATATGTTAATTACGCACGTTTATACATATAATTAGCAGAACAAAAATTGCAATGACATTCAATGACAATTGCAATAGATCGTAATAATTTATGAGTTACATTTATGAGTTACATTCTATTTTAGCTAGCAATAAGTCTGCAATCTTCTTCCGGGAGAAAATGGAAAAATAGATCTAATTAAATCTAAATTAAATCTAAATAAATATAAAGTAGATCTAAATAAATATAAAGCAAATCTAAATAGATATAAGTAAATCTATATAAAAATTTACACTTTTATTTATTATTAGATCTTTTGATCTATTCAGATCTGTTCAGATCTGCTTAAATCTAAGTAAATCTGAGTAGTTTTAATATATTAGATCTGAGTATAGATCTAAAGTAAATGTAATAATATATAAAAGTGTAAAGTTATACAAATTTACTTTTATATTTATTTAGATCTACTTTATATCTATTTAGATTTAATTTGGATCTAATTAGATCTATTTTTTCATTTTTTTTTTTTATCTCGTTAAATTTAAGTTAATCTAATCCATTTTTCCCGGAATGTTAATAAATAAAAATCAATTTCGCATCATATTTTATTTCCAATGGAAACATACAGAAATAGATAGAATGTTATATATTTTATATTTTAATATCGCACTCCCGAGCGTAATTACATGTTTTTCTGATTCTTTATATATGTAAATACACAATCTGTTTTTCTCTTGATAGACGAGTCAATATGACATAACGTGTTATATATATATATTTTTTTAATATAAGTTTGTGTAATCGTTGTAAATTGTATAATTGTCTTTCTTTTTTTTAATGTATAATTTTCTGCATAAATCGTACATCGTAGGTTATTCACAAAAACTATTTGATTAAGCAATTTACTCACAAAGTCGATGTTAATCGATTGATAAAGTGTGAGGAAAAAGTTTTTTATCATCTATCGCGGTTTTTAATGCTCATTATCCAAACATTTACTAAGAGTTTTTTCTCGATTTATTCGAGTTAAAGAATTGAACTTCGGACTTTATAGCAGAAATTATAGCAGAAGATTTTTATATCGATAAAATTGAATTTTCAATTTTTATTCTAATTCATTTTTTTGCGAGTTTTTTCATCTTAAATTCACTGCATTCTGCAGTGAACAAGAAATTTGTTGATCGTGGCGAAAATATTTATATAGATTTGACAATATAAGCAACTCTCGGTCATATATATATATATATATTTCATGAAGTCGCTTTATAACAGTTAACTAGTCATTGGACTAATGAAAGTAAAAGAAATGATCCCGTGTACCGAGCGTTATAAATAAAACAAGAGACACAACGCGTGTTTAACTCCGATGAATCGCGGTGAAGCAATACCGAAAGCAAGAATGCAACGCGACCTTATTGAGTATCTTTTTATGCGTGTAGTGACCAATTTACAAAACGCTTGACGCGTGTCATTTCGTCCCTACCAAAGTCCAAGATAAAATTTCTTTACAATATTACTTTCAAAAAAAAAAGAAAAAAAAATTTTTTTTGAAATAAATGTGTGAAACAAAAGATAATAAACTTTAAGTCTCACTAAATGTGTGATTGAAGCTGCAAAACAATTGTGCGAAGTACATAAATAAACAAACATCTTCGAATTTTGCATTTCAGGTTTAAAACAAGTCAATTTTGTTTTTATATCACATGTTTAACAATGACTAAACCATTTAAATCTGCATTCAGACTTAATTATTGACGCGCAAATTACACAAGAACAAGTTAGTTAATTTATTCTGTGGCGTGTAAACGGAGAAACATGTCGACGCAAAATGCAAAAATATAAAATTTATCATTAATTAAAATCAAATCTGTTCTAGAGTTAACCAAATATAAAATCCGAAAATATAAAATTGAAGAATACAATTCAGTAGAAAACAATTTCGTTCTCAAGTCAACAAAGAAGACTCATATGGTTCTTACTATTGTCTTCGTGTTGTTTTACATCACATAAAAGAGACATAGAATGAAATCATTACTTTCTTAAATTGCACATGTCAACAGATAATGACAGGTGAAAAGACAGAATTGATCGCAAAATTAAGTTCGAGATTAATGGACATCGATTCAGAGATGTGCGCGTGTGTGCGAACTCTTATGCGCTATTATAGCGTATTGCAACTTGTAATTTAATTTTCAATGCTTTGTATTTGTGAGATATCGGTTCGTTGACTTGTCGCATTTGTACCGTGCGATTTTCGCGTTTAAACTATTGTTAAAGGAATCAAGCAAGCGGAACCGTCACGAGAACCGGCTTACGAAAAGTAACGTTGTACAGCATGAACAAACAAAACGGGTACGTGTGCACGTATCAAAAAGGAGCACGAAGAAGATCGGATACGTGACTAAAATTCATGCGCGAAATTCTCGGGGATAAAAAAAGAAAGAGGGGGAGAAAACTGTGGGAGATCTGCCGACACCAATGCGTATCATCGTGCATGACTTTGAATTGCAATTGTTATCAATATGACGATATGCGAATAATTAAACCGATATATAAATGTAAAAAAGAACGTTATCGCGTATTGCAACGTAAATTTAAAACATTTAAGTGTGTATTTCTCTCTCAAAACCACTATTTACTCTAATGCCTTTTATTTATACTGAAGAAAAAACTTATTACATATAAATTATAAACTATTATATAAAAATTTAGAATATACATAATATGTATTATGATGATATATGTACATATGTACGTGTGCATTATAATAATATAAATTTATAACTGAGATATTGAATATATATAAAAGTGCATCACATATCAAATATGTATTTATTATTAAAAATTAATTAATAATTAATATTTTCATACAATATTTAATAAATTACAGAAATATCGCGAGTAAGTTTTTCTTATATACTCTTTTTTTATATACTTTATTTTTTTCAGATACGTTCAATTAGTCACAAAATTTAGGAAATTGTCGTTTTAAATTTGATCTTTTCCTCAAAGCTAAGTAATAATAATTAAACGTTTTGACGAAATCATTAAGCTTGATTATTTAATTGAGCTTTTTTTTTGGCAATGTTTATCAACGCGATCATCAAAATTCATCGGATCTATTTCTTGCTAAAACAATGTTTACTTATTATTTATAGTAATTTTTTTTTGCCAGTTTAAAGAGGATCTTTAAGTGTAATATATTTTATATTTGTTTACATTATTATTTATTACGCTAACTTCAAACTCTTGTAGCAAGTTCTCGATAGTAAGTTTCTCGCGGAGTTGACCATTTCTCGATCGTTTGTTCGGAAGAGAAATGTGCCATTTCGTAATCGTCGCGAGAAAAGTGTAATGTTCATTATGCAATAATGTCCATAATGTTTCTTTTTCAATTCGCAATTTTCGAAGAAGCATACTGTGTTGTGTGTTTTTGTCAACAAATTTCAGTGCAGTTATACTTCTGAATATTTTAGAGAGATTTAAATACACACAAAAACTACAAATTTCACATATTTAATGTACAAAAAAAAAATACGTTGATGATATATTTAAATAAAAGTTCTTACATGAAATTCAGAAATGAGGAGTATTTACATAGTTTTTCTTTACCCTTCACCACATTAGGAGCAAAGCTTAAATTTCAAACGCCAAACATTTCCTATTTCGTTAATATAAACGACATGTAAGGAAAAATATACAATCAGTTTACAAGCGTGATACACGCACGCACGCACCCATGCACGCACGCACGCACGCACCCATGCACGCACGCAAGCACGCACACACACACGCACACATCTAAACTCACTCATGCTGATTTCGCGAAGTGATACGTTTCATCCACTCGACGATCTCTCGGTGGTAGAAGCCGAGAACTCGAAGAACGTTCCCGTAGGTGGATGCAACGTAACAGAGTGACGATGAAAAACTGTAACTGGAGAAAAACGCGCGTCGCGAATGCTCGACAGCGAGCAGATACGGACGTGTCTCGCGTATCAAATTGCGAATGACGTTAATCTTCCACCAACCTTATTTGACGATCGAAAAAATAATCGACAAAGGGAATCCTCGCGTGGATCTCGATGACAGGCAATGACAGGCAGGCAGACGGGCGGACCAAGTTGACAGCAAGTGCTCCCGGATCGGAATAAACGGCCGACTAGATGTGTACACCGGCAGGTAATGTAATAACTTTCTCCTCACGCGTGCGGATTCTATTCCTAATTCCTTTCTTCTGCCCAGTCGATCTGGTCGCGAGTAAATCGGCTCGTATTTTGTTACCTCCGTCGACCATGCCATGGGTCTTACTTTTTCCACCTCCTTTTTCTTACCCCTTCCTCCATCGTGGTGTATCCCTCCTCCTTCTGCTCGTTCTTCTCCTCACGCCACATCGCCTGTAGATCTTTTCGTTTCGCTCTGGTCCTCTTGCACCTCGCCAATGAATGATCCTCCCGAAGAATGAGGTCAAACGGGAAGTATTACTAGCGCACGTGACGTTAGTGAAATGTTGACCTTGCAAAGACGCAAGAATCGAGGGAACTATTACCACATTGCCACATTTGGTGCGCATGAATAATGTTTACGATAATGCGGAGGGTAAATTTATTTTTTTTTCTGAAATAAAATAAATTCACTCTTCTAACGGCCACAATGCGTTAGAGCAACCTTAAGACTTTGAAAAATGGTAAAACGTAAGCAATAAACAAATCACTGTTGCCATGTGAAATCGATTGGTTGCTCAAGTTCTTTACAAGTGCTACGATCTCAATTATCTTCCCACATTTTTCATTCCCATCGTGAAACTTCTTCGTTAACATCCTACATTCCACAAAATTAACAAACTTGAAGTCATTTACAGGTTGGTCGTGTATAAAAAGTTATCTTTATTTAATAAATAGACGTTTCGGTCACACAAGTTTGGACCTTCTTCAGTATGAAAAAGTTAAAAGTTCAAATAAGAAAAAACATTTTAGTTCACTACATCACTAACAGATAAATGAAATGATGTCGATAAATTACAATAATATAATGTGTACTGATATTCAGTACACATGAGTGATGTAGTGAACTAAAATGTTTTTTCTTATTTGAACTTTAACTTTTTCATACTGAAGAAGGTCCAAACTTGTGTGACCGAAACGTCTATTTATTGAATAAAGACAACTTTTTATACACGACCAACCTGTATTTTACTGCTCGTATCGGCCCTTGATTTATTTGATTATTTCACGAGCGATTGATTGACATTTACATATCAATTTTACTGGTTCTTAACGTAGACAGACAAAAACTTATCAGTTATTATAAATAATTGAAATGAATTGAAAAAATTCGGAAAAAAGTCCCGCATGTATGAACAAATTCGATATATTCAATTTTAAATAATTATTACTTGTAATCATGCATGAGATCGACGTAATCGCGTATAAATGATTTTACGCACTTCGATGATGTATAATGTATTTTCATAAAAATGAAGGACTTTTTTTTGACTATTATTATCTGTCATATATCATTTGTAACATTATGCATAATGTTAAACTTGATAAAGAAATTCATGAATGTATAATTAATTAATAAAAAATATATTAATTTTATTTTTAACAACAGAAGGTTTGAATAAGTAAAAAGATCTTAAAATATCACAAACTATCGATTGTAGATCAATTTTTTTAGGTTTTAAAAATGTCCAGAATTTTCCGAAATTATCGCGTCGTTATATTGGTGCAATAATACCGGTTGAAATATTTCATTTCTAATATTCATACAAAAAGTATACTCAAATCTTCTTTCGAGTCGAATATGCGTGTGTTTGTGTGCGTATTAATAAATATTCGATGACATTTGCACGATCGAAAATGAGAAAAAAAAAAACAACAGAAGTTTTTATTATATGATAGGAATTGTTAAGAGAGACATAATTTATTAATCCTCGATTTACATTAATAATGTTTAATAATTTTTTCTGACATTTCGATATTACATCAAGAATATGTTTTTATATAGTTATTACAATAGTTATTAATTTCTTTTTTTGAAAATTGCGAAGTATTACGTACGAAGACGAAAATCACGTCATATTCTCGCAGCTGATTTTTAATAGGTAAAAAAACAGATTCTTATTCTTAGAATTAAGACTTAAAATTAAGACTCCAAAAGAGAAACAATGCCGTTACGATTACCTGATAGCCACGCTTCGTTTCGGTGAAAGAAGACGAAGTAAAGTTGCCTCAGAGACGACGGATATCGACAAATATTAATATGTACAATCATATATAATTAATATATTTAGCAAGCAGTAGATAAAAATATTTTCAAACCCAAAACTCTGTCGCGTATGTGAGAACGCGACAAATTTTTTAAACAAAAAAATATATATATTCAAAATTCTTTCCCAAACTATTTGCGGAGTTGAGCAGATTCTCGATAAAGCAAGGCACGGTTATACGGATGTACATCGCGCGGGAAAGATCTTTCCTTATTATTTTTACCTGTCCGTGTATAAATTTTCTTTCTTTACGTTTCGCGAATCACGATATCCATTTTGAAAAGCGATCTTTTATTATTCACATAATTATCGTTGTGTTTTTACAAGTGGTAATAATAATACACGCAAAGTAATGGAGTTATAAGAGTTAATGGCCACGATGGTTAATCAGGTCCCATTTTGGTTTTTTTTGTTTTTGTGTTTTTTTTTTTTTTTACGCACACACGTGCACGAACCGGCACACAACGCAATAACAATCTACTAGTCTAGTCCCAAATGTAAGTTTTACCAATTATCGTATATGGAAGAACGCAGAGTCGATGTATCGTGTGTAACAGCTTCTTGCGAGTGTCGATTATTAGCGTTGCCGCCGTGCCTATCGTCGAAAACGATTTGTGTAAGGCACGTTTAAATACCCTTTTTGTTAAACAATGATATGTCTGTTAGGCGCGCAAGAGTGTACTCGCCGTTTGCGAACAATAACGTGCGTCGCGATACAAAGTAATGACGCGATACAAAGTAATGACAATTATTGAGATAAAAAAGTGAGATACGAGGGAAGAACTGATATCCGTCTAATATTGGTTGGATCGGCACGAGGTTTCGTAAAGAAACAAATATTTCGAGTAAAGAGACAGAACGGAAGGCTGATTTTGAAGAAAATATTCGAGAGAAAAATACACACACGTTATATATATATATATACAATCATCTCTAGCAGATGAAAAAACAAAAACTTGTAAAGAAATTTTTTTTTTATATTAAATATAAATTACAACAAGATCAATTGTTCACTTATCGCTTCGACTGAAGTTTACGAAGCTCGTAATTATAACTCATGATCGATCATCTCCAATGATGTTTAATTTCAAAAAAATAATTATATAAAAGACGTGAGATTATAGTTTACGTATTAAATGTCTCAGTCAACTTAGAGAGTGCGCGAGATGATCTTGAGATGAAACCGACTCACTAAAATCACTAAGAAGCTTTGCACATAATGTGTTTGTTTTTTTTTTTTTTTTCACGTCACGTGTAACATGTAAATTCTCACAAATATAGAAAGCAACAACGATCGTAGTGCGACAACGATAAATTTAGATAGCGCGATGACTCGCAACTAACGGATTGTAATCGCGGAAAAACAACTTTTGCCGAAGCAGCAAAAAGATCATTTATCACATGATCTTAGCAAAAATTGATTTTCTTTCTTTTTGCGTACAAGTTTCGTGAATATTTCGAAAACATTTATAAAAATTATTTACAAAAGAGAGGCGAAAGAACGTGTACGTTTGAGAAATACATCCGATAACATCACGGAAAAAAATGAAAACTTGATGTTCTGAGTTTGAGAATTACATGAATGAATCTTTTCCCCGCGATCGGAGCACATTATATTTTGACAAGTACGACGTTAAGATACCGCGATAAAAACAAACTATCACGATTGAGAATGATCGTTTTTTTTTTTTTTTTTCACTTTCCACGATTACGTGTGTATGTAAGGTTCATACGCACGTTGATACGAGTATCTCGATAAACCCCACGAATTCGCGGAACGCGTCTCGCTTACATTTAGCGGAACGGTATAATTGGAATACCAATCGCGATGGAAGATATCTTCTAACTGTTGTCTTATGTTATCCTTGGTTGGATGTCCAACACTCTCGAACACGGTACCGATGCCTGAAATAAACATTGGCATGTTTTCCAAAAAGAGAAAATGTGAAAAAAATAAACAATACCTCACTGTTGTTATTCCAACTTGTCTTATTTGATTTTCGCATCCATCGGGCGAGGAACAACTTACCGGCCGTGTCGATGAAGTAATCGCCCGACCAGTTGCTCGTTCCGATATAAGCCGCTCCGTCGGTGACCATGTATTTGTTGTGGTTCACCCTGATGAACGGTATTCTGTCTAAGTAAGAATTGGTGGGCACGATAAATCGTTTCTGTAACAATAATCAAAGTTTTTTACTAGGCGACCGTATGTCTTCTTCAGACAAATGCATTCAAGCGAAGAAAAGGAGTATTCACCACTTCGATTTTGATGTTAGCGTAACTGTATGTGAGATCCTGCAAGGATTTAAGAAAGTACGATTCGGACGGCCTCGAGTGTTTCCACCATGAGATCAGAAGCCGCACGTTTACTCTGCGATCAATGGCCGCTGCTCTTAGAGCGTTGTCTATTATAGGCCAGTATCTACGAACGTAAACAAATATAAAACAAAAAACGCTAAATTTGACGGAAGGAATAAGAGAACGAACATATAAAATATAACATTTACAGTGTGAACATTAAATAAATATTAATAAAAAAACGTCTCGAATTATTATTTTTTATATATCTCGTAGCGCGAATAAATAAGTTTTGTTTGTACGTACTTTATTTGCGCGGTGTATATCGTCAGCGGGAGGTAATCCATTACCGAAATGTAAATGAACTTCTCTGCTTTGGCGATGCAGTGCAAAATCGCGTCTAAGTCGTTGCTTCTGCCCTTCGGCGAAAATGGAGGGGGTGAGCTCTGTAACGTCGCATTTGTTTTTTTTTCTTTTTTTTCAGTTCTCAAACGTCTATAAATGCTGCTTATTACTTGTGTGTGTGTGTGTGTGTGGTTACTAACCGCAATAAATAATTTGTACTTGTTCTTCATGTATGAGAAATTCATAGGATTATCTATGTTTATCTTTGTGCTGAGGTAATCTGGCCACGTAGAAGGCACTTTACCGTCTTCGCCTAACTTCCAGTACACCTATAAGTTTAAGAATCGATATATAATCGCGCGATTGTGTATACATCGTTTTGTCGACTCGATTGCGATAAATATACATATATACATCCGCATGACGATAAATCCGCGTAATTTCTCTTACGTCGAATATCTTGGCGTAATCGCTCGCCAGGCAGGAACAGTTTAAAGCTACCAAGCCGAGTTCCTTCACTTGCGAGAGAGATCTCCAGTCCATGTTCGCTGATCCGACGTAAACGTGAGTGCGATCGATGAGCCATAATTTCGTGTGGAGCACACCACCTCCCAACAATCCGGCGAAGTTTAAACTTCTCACCTAAATTTGAATAAAAAAAAGAAAAAGAACAAAAAAAAAACACACCACATATGTTCATATTTATAACAAAATGTGTGTGTGTGTGTACATAATTAACAAAATAAAATATGAAACAACCAACCTGTGCGTGAGCCTTTTTGGCTAAGATTAGTGTGTCTACGTTCGGAGACAAGCGGGAAGGAAGATTTTGTGCTATTTTTAGTGCGATCCCTCGATCTCTCCCGGCCTCTAGAAGCGCCTGGAAAACCTGTTCGCCCTGCGCGACAGATCGATACGCGTCGTTTATATGGAAATTGAGACCGTTTTTGCGACGCTCGATAAAAAACCGTCGCTCTGACACACGCGATACTTGCCTCCTTAGCGCTGTCATCAGGAAACACATCCTCCCTCTTCATTGTCCAATAGAGCGACGCGATCTCGATGGTTTCCTGCGCCATTCCGATGAGTTCCATCCAGGAATCGTAGATGGTCTCGTGACGCGGCGCTTCGTCGCTGTAATTCATGCCCACGGGTATAGTCTCCACCAAGGATACGTTGCAATAGTCCATGCATATCGATTCTGAATCCGTCACGGTCGCGTTCAGCGCGTACTTCTCCGCGTGGTCCGACAGCGGCCACAGCACGACCAAAATGATTAGAATCAGAATGACCGTGATCGGTATGCAACTAGGTCTGCACCAACCTTCCCATCTTTGACAGTAGAGAATAACGTGTATATATTTATAATAAAAAAAATAAAAAATAAAAAAATATCTTGTAAAATTTCGTTTACGTCATTGTGTAAAGGAAACATATTTTCGACACGTACTTTGCATTCGCAAGAGGGTCGTCCATGTCGCTTCTCAACATAAATCCGGACTGGTCCCATAACTCGAAATCATCGTCGCCGCCCCCCGGGGAGCTTACGTCCAGTCGTACATTCTCGGACACGGTCTGCAATGCCATACATCACGCGTCATAATTTTTACGGTTAAAGAAAGGACGCTATTTGACACTTTTTTTTTAGGGTTGGCGCAAGTCCACGCCTACCATTCTCTTTCTCACTGATTCCTGACTTGTTTGCTCCCGATGAGCACGTCGCAAAATGACGATTCGAGATCGAGATTGTGCGAGAAACAAATAAATAAGAAAAGTGGGCGTAAACCAATCCTCCAGGTCAGAGCTCTAAACTAATATGGAATGTCAAGACGAAAACGTTGCGAGAATAGCGTTAAGTATTGATTTTATATACACAGTATTGGTTTTATATAAAATATTAAAACGTTGCGCACACGTGTTTCTGAGATTCGATGTAAAAAAATGAGATCTACTTCGTTGTATCTCGTCGCGTTTTGTCGCTATTCTTATCTCAAGTCTTGAATTATAGTCCAGCTGCATGTGCATCAGTTGAATTACAATCTCGTTAATATGGAAACGCACGGACTTCGTTGTACGCTCTCACGTGACGAGAGAGAAAATGAACCACCTGCCAGATTAATCGGGATTTTCCTCGACAACAATAGAAGAAGACATCGCGAGAGAACGAGAAGATTTTTACATTGCGCGCTTTTTCCAATTAAAAAAAAATTACGCAGGTTATTAAAATGCTATTTATCTTGTGAAACCTGTTTTGGAAGTTCATGCTGTGTGTGTATTGAGCACCTCAGATATAAAAATTATTTCTTCTCTTTTTCTTTCTCACATTATTTCATTTTCTAAAGTAAAAAACCCAAAAATAAATACACGACTGGTCAAAAGCAGTTCTTTTTTTTTCGCACGGCAGCTTCAACGATAGGAAAAAAAAAACAGGTCAGTAAAGAAATTCGAGCAGATCAATATCGTAAATTAGGTGACCGTCCCACGCGCGAATAGTGAATTCGGCACACGTGCCTTTTCCGAGCTATTTCTCCCATGACAATGACATCAATTTTTTATGTGACTCGTCACCTAGAGTTCTCGCAAAACTGAGACCTCACTTTGTGACCGCACGTCGCGGTCACAAATAAAGACTCAGCGCAAGAATATTCATAGAAAAATAAAAAATTTATTTCATTCTCTTTTCTTTTCCCGCGCACATTGTTATCTTCCGAAAGAAGAACTCACCGACAATTTGTGTTTGAGTCGCGGCGCTCGGTTCTTGCGTTGCGGCAACAGCACAACCACATCCTGATCCTTGTCCCGCGATCCCGCGGTCGCGTATACCTTCGTGGCGGTTGTTTCCTTTGTTGACGACGACGTTGCCGGAGCGGTCGGTCCCCCGGCCGTGGAATATTTCGAGAACGCGACGTTATTCACATTATTGCTACCTCCGTACGATACGTTGTGCGTGTTATTCACCTCCACAGAGAGAAAATTGTTTATTTCCGCATTGCTTGATTTGCTTCAATTGGTAAATTTGTGTTTTTTTTTTTTTTTTTTCAACTCTGAGAGATGTATATTAAGAAAGTACAATAATATTCGAGATATTGAAGGAAATTAATTATTAAGAAATTGTATCTATCTTGTGATGTGTTCTGTCAAGCTGTCGATCTTCGCTTTTTGAATTTTATAGAAATCCGTATAGAACGTCGTCATAAATTAAATGTCGAGAACACTAATAAAAACATACACGTGAAACAATTTTATTTTTCACATGTAATTTCACAGACTTCAATAAAAAAAAAAAAATTATTCATATTCAATTATTCAATAAATAAAAACTATTGTATAAATGTGAGATACTCAATTGATTCACATTTATACAATAATTGATTAACCTTTTCGCTCCGGGGATTTTTCCTTTGAAATTGACCTCGCATTTTAGCTGAAAAAGTTAATAATAACCTGCTACCCCCCCCTTCAAAGTTAATTTTGAAGGTCAAAGAAGTAACCAGGATTTTTTTCAATTTTTTTCCTAAATTTAGTGCATTAAATTGACCTTATAAACATCTATTACGTTCGCTTTTCTTGCTGGTCCATATATGGACCAGTCCCGGAGCGAAAAGGTTAACATTTATACAGTAAATAAAAATTATTGTATAAATGTGAGATATTCAAACACAAGAAATGCGAAACATTATTAAAATTAAACATACAGATTATGAAATGTGAAAAACATAAAGAAAAACATAAATATCCCATCGGAACGTAAATTATATACAAAGTGCTCCAGAGTCGGGTTCTAGCTTTATTAGGTACATTTCTTATTAATTATCGCAAAGTAAATTACTTCTTGCATTTGCTGCTGTGTAATTTGATACTGCGCACTCAATGTTTAACTGGTCTTGTTGAATAAGAGATTGTTTGCTAATCAGCAGCAAACTATCACCTTCGATGACGTGTTATCGATATTGTGTCGTTTTTTCCTATTTGCAGCACTTTCACCGAATACAAACATTCTTGCATCAAGAAATAAAAATTTAATCACATACTTTCTTCACGTCTACCTCTCAATGTTCACTTTTATGTCAGATAAAATGAAAACTGCTAAACAATAAAAATGTCATGCAAACATACACGTTCACTCTCACTTACTTGCACCAGGATGTGGCATGCCTGCGACGCTATTTGGAACAGTCCGTCCTGCAAGTTCCGCCCGGTGTGCGCGGAACTGGCTCCACCCCCGCCGCCCATTTTCCAACCGAAGAACGACATTTCGATTTGCGTCCGATGCACCCGCGCTCGCGTTTAATGCATCGTCGCGAGTTGCTCGCCGTCCTCGTCGTCGATCGAACTCGCGTGCATACGGAGGCCGGCGTTTCCGTTGTCCGACTTTTGTTGCACCGTATCCGACGTTCGCAGTTTGATATCTGTTCGGCGGAACAAAAAGAGAAGTGTCATTTCCCGTCTTATGACTGCGCGGCACGTGGCGTCTGCGGCAAAAAAAAAGCGGCTTCGCGCGCGCGACTCTTTAAAGTTTAATGCACACGCGCGCGCGCGCGCGCGAAGGTTGTGATCACAGCTTTGACGGCAACGAAACTTTTTTTTTTTTTTTCTATTCCAACAATAAAACACGTGAGATAAAGCTCGCGGAAACTTTCTTTTATTCTAATAATAAAATCGCGCGGCGACGTTTCTATTTTTGTTTGCTTTGTATATCCTTCAAAGCATGATCGCGCGAAAACAATGACGCAACAAGAATAAAAGTTTTTCTTTCTCAAGGATACTTTGGAATAATAAGAGGAATATATGCGCACGGAGAAATAAAAGATCGCGTACATAAATTAATGCGCTCTATCGCACCGTTCAATCTTCTCGGCGACATAAGTGATCTAAAAAAAAAAAAAAAAATCCTCGTGTGTTCGTCATGAATTTTCATTTTCATCGACAGTTCCAAGCTTATCGGAAATCAAAACATTCTCGGCGTATGGTGACTACTTCCACACTCGACACGTCTGGCTCTTTAATTAAAAGCATCTTACAAGCTCGTTTTCGCTTCTTTTAAGTTGCAAAGAGACAAATGTTCTATCGTTCTTGCTTGAGAAAAAGTAAACAAATGTAAATACACGTTAATCGTCGACACTAGGTCGTGATCGATAAAAAAACGATTAGCGGATGTTTTGAGTCATATATTTGCGACAATCCCGATGACTTTCGTTTTGTTCGTTTCTAAACGTCCTTCGCGACTGTAAATGTTTAAACTCGATAGGCACGCGACGTCTGTCTCTCTCTCTCTCTCTCTTTTTTTTCTCGTTTTATTTTTCCTCCGTTTTTTTTTTTTTTTGACGAAATCGATTAGATCGAGTCTGTTGCCGGGACGACGATCCACATTGGGGCGCGCGGATGACAAACACGTCTTTCCTTCAGCGCGCGGAGAAAGAAACGATCGAAAGTTCTTCCATGCCGCGCGAGGCACCTGCGCAGATAAACGTCCTCGTAGCCTCAATAACGTTCCGATTGATATAAAGGGATGTGACGATTAACTCTCTCACGTTCTATATATATATATATATATATATATATCTTTCGTCCTTCGACCTAAATTCTACGACGATAACTGATGAATATTCGAATGTGTTACATACGTATTCAAATTTGTATATCTCGCACGTGTTAAGTTTTTTCATCGATAACGCAAGTTCAAAACTGAGGTCTGATTAAGTTGAAAATTATTCAGAAAATTATTCAGTTCGTAATAGCGAGTGACATCTGACATTTTACAATTATGTAAATTTACATAAGCAACGTGTGTGTGTGTGTGTTGCAATTGCACGTCAAATAATTCTGGCGTGTTTTTGTAACGACGATAAACAGTGATAAATTGAACGGTTACAACACGACGAGCTCTCTCGAAAAGACACAGCATAATCCGCGATTGCCAGAATATTTGTATACTTTGTGTTTTCTATCTTCTTTCTTCCTAAATGTTAAAATGTCATTCTTTTTTTAAAGAGACACACACTCACGTGTTTGTTGCGCGGCTTCATCGAAATCTCGCCATGATTTTCTAACCGAACGCGATCAAATGCGCTCGCGACTTTTTTTTTTATCTGGGAGCAGGACACATAACGTGCACACGAGGATTGGCGCTTATCACACGGGTGAATGATCGAACCGATCGACACGACGTGCGACCGAGCACGGAAACGACACAATTTGACAAGAGGTATGCGAAACCGAAAATACCGGCGATTATACGCGAAGGGCGCGCAATTGAACGCGATACGACACGAAATGAATCAATTATTGTGTGTCGGCGCGTCTCTCGATCTAGAGAGCGCCGCGCGCGCTACGGGACACTTTCGGTTGCGACTGTTTCGTTCGATCTGTCATCATTGCGAGCAACACATATACGGGAGAAACACAACGTGCATGCGCGCGGAGCATCCCTTCGGCGCGATCCCAGCGAGAGCGAAATATTTTCGTCGATATACACGCCCTCGTTATCGATCATAGAAAGGGAGGAGGGTTTTCCGCGCGCGTTCCCGCGCACCGTATCCTCACGTGCACGTGGTGATTTTTCCTCGCCCGCACCGTTTTTTTTTTTTTTTCCCCGGGAATGTGAGATTGTTCCCATTTTCCCCAAAAAAGTTTCAAATTAGAACATCGGTTTTTTCTTATCGTCCTTTGTGGGTCTTGCATTTTTTGCCTCGTAGCTTTCTTCCCGTCTGTTCTCGTCTCTTTCTCTCCTTCTCTTTCACCTTTCACCAAATTTATGATTTCAGTTTCTATGGGTAAGTAAAAAAATCGGTGATCGATGGCGTCTCGGATCGTCCGGTCGATCGTCACAAAGGAAAATCGCAAAATTATTGGACTCTCTTGTAGGCGCGCATCGCCACACATTTCTTATTCTTTTTCCGTTCGTCTTTGAATAACGCGTTTACAATGCGTTCTCGTAAATTTTTAACACTGTTTTTTTTTTTTTTTTTTTTACCCCCTCTTACTACTTTGCGCGACCGCTCGAATGTTTCTCTCGAATGGAATCCGTTCACTTCATTTTCGATTTCGAAACTGTTAGCAAGTTATAGCGACTAAAAAAGCTCCCGGACCAGCTCCCGACCGAGAGCTGACAGATTGCACGAGAAAGAAGTGCGTGAGTAAGTTATTTCGAGTTTGTAATAAAAACGTGTTTTTTTTTCTTGACTAAAATCACGAGTGTATCATATATCTAACGAGAATGCGTGCACGGACGGTGTTTTTTTTATGACATTAAAAATAATTTTAATTAAATGTAAAAGATTTGGGGGGGCTAAGTGAAGGGGGGGGAGAGGTCTTTTCGACAATTTTTATATAATTGAAAAACTGGAGTGAGTTATTATATATCACTTATTTATTATTATATATTATTCTATCTTATATATTATTCTATCATATAAAAATACTTACGTGTGTATTGAAATTTTCTAAAAAATCTCCAATTTAAATCGACCTGATGATTTTCGAGTGATTCACTGATATTCCGTTGCGAAGATTAAATTGTTTTTTTTTTTTTTTTATTATTATTATTTAACATCAATCACTCTCTTCTCGTTTAACTCTTCGTTTTGTTTTCTCTTATCATCTATATTCGGCAATTGCGCACGTTTTAAAAAAAAAAAAAAAAAAAAAAGACAAAAATCTGAAACCGCGCACCGCTCTCTTTGTCACCGCGTCGCGCCGCGCGCACTGTCGACATCTGATAGCGTCGCGTCGAAATACACGCACGTGTTGTTCACGTATCGCCGTTCGTATCGGAGCACGTGTCCTATCGACGTGAATGCACCACTCGGGAGAGATACTCGCGAGAACACAATCCGCGAAATTGCACGCGTTTGTCGAGATGTGCACGCTATCGCATCTCGGGGCAAGTTCAATCGACGTTCGGTCGTACGGACTATATCGACAAATCGAAGCGCACAAAAGACGGCACTATGCGCCGCCGCTGCTGAACGTCAAAGTTCGTGGCGTCCGTATAGTTGCTCGTCGCCGTCGTCGCGATGGCGCTACCGCCTAAACAATTTTCCTCCTCACACCCGTTGGTACACAAATCGATATTATTTAAATATCACATAGATTTTTAATAGCGATTTCGGCTGGTTTGCACCGACTGCACATTTCGGGTGTCGGTGCAAATTGTGTGTTTTTTCGGCTGGTCGAATGGCAGCAGTTCTTTGCTGGTTCCGCGTATTCGTCTGAGCTCAGTACACCGCATAGGTGCATGTTGGGTGTACACAAAGTGGCTCTCACAAATTAGTCGGAGCCAGTTAGTGTAATCAGTACACACACCGATGCGGTGTTGCACACAATTGCACCAACTCTACACAGGTGGCACACCGGTGCAGACCAGCCCCGAAATCGCTATAAGTCTCTTTTTTATCTTAATTGTTCGGTTCGATTATTTTCGGAAAGTATAATAACCGAACGCTTTAACTACTATAGCAGCAGAATTTTGTCACGCGAGAGATTCTCTTGAATTGTTAAATTCGTTTGAATTATTGAACTCAAACGACCCCGTGAACGACACGACGCGTTATCGAAAAAACTTTACGTGCGTGTCAAGTATTATATATTGCATAATAAACAAATAAGATCGTAGAATACGCGCGACAGCACCTTCTCCAAAATTATAAATTTCAAACACACTAAGCGGGAAAGTTTAATGCGAGAATATCCTTTTCGGATGGGGTTGTTTTCTTTTTCTTTTTCTTTCACGACGCCGCTGCTTCATTAAATATTTACGGCGCGTTTTCGGATCTCATAAAGAATTCGGATTCGTCTCTTTTCGGAATTCGAGAGATGTCTTTTCCGCTGCCGCCCTCTCGAACGTATGCGCAAGGCGGACGGAGCAAAGTGTTCGGTCGAACACGTCGGTCCCTCTTTTTCATCGTCTTTTATATATATATGTACATGTTATTCAAACATGCCGAACGCGCGCCCGCTCTTTCCGCTATATATAATATATAAAAAGAGTTGGGCATCGATTCGTGCATCGAATTAAACCGATGAGAAGCCAGGATGAAACGTAATTTTTTTTGTTTTCCGTACGCGCGATCGATGCGCGCGTGTGTGCGATTAGAACAACGTTTTGATACGAGGTATAGAAAAATACTGCGTTTTTTTTTTTACTCAAGTAACTACGTGCTAAAAATGAAAAACTAGTAGAATTCAAGATAAATTTAAATGACTCTTGCGAGAGCATATTTCAGATAAAAAAAATGCGAGAAATCCGAAACACGATTTCTTATCTCCCGAAGAGTTCGGGAGGGATAGGAAAAAAATGTGTCGACAAAAACACGCGAGAAGAGAGCGATGCGATACGCTAATTGTTTAGTGCGCTAGCCGACGTGATCACATTACACGCTTTGTCAAGATTATACGCGCGTTATCTAAAAACCCTCGTTCCTCTCGAAACATTCGGAGATATAGGTTTTTCATGGTGTTTTCAGTTTTATCTCTCTTTTGTGATGAAAACAATTAACGCGTAAAACGCACATTCAGGAGCGTACGTACGCGATAATCATACGGTCGCCGTTCTGTCGCGACATCTGGCGGCGCTTCCCCCGCCTTTGCGCACGTCGAGGACGCCGCCATTGTTGTAATACCCTGCCTTGGTCCGGTGCGCCGCCGCCGCTACGCCGCCACCGGAGGAGAGACGACCGACCGACTGCGTCCGACGACGGCGAGAACGGACGGCTAACTACAACGACGACGACGACGACGACGACGACACGACGATACACGGGCGTATCGCGTTATCACCGAGCTCGTTTCGTCGCGAGATCGCTGGACGTTCGCGCGGACGAGACAAGTGCGTCCTAGACGACGGTGCTTCACGTTTGCTAAAACGTGCTTCGTGGTTTTAACACGCGGTGGTGGTGGTGGTGCGTCCCGTCGAAAGACCTCGGAGCGAGAAGCGGAAAGAGAGAGAGAGAGAAAGAAAGACACAAGGAAGACAGAAGCGCCCTGGCCACTCGCGAAGGATCGCCCTGTACGACGTTACCTTCTGTCACCTACGTGCCAAGGCCAGCACGAATCGCGCGGCGGCATCCCGACCGATGCCCCGTCGACGGATTCAAGCCGGTGACGACGACGACGGTGCGAGCGTGCTGTGCATTCGGTGTTAGTGCATCATGTGATTGCTTCCACGGGCTGTTCTCTACGCCACGGTGACGGATAACTAGACCGTGTGAAGGTTAGTCGCGTCTCGTCTTGTCCTTTAGCGTGTCCTTTTTTTGCGAATCGCCGTTCTCCCGATTCTTTCGTGCTTTGTAATAATATAAACGTCGGTTTTTTCCCGTTAGAGCCGCCCGAGAACCACCGGGACACGGTCGTGTGTTGATCGTCCTTTCTCTCCTTTCTCTCCTTGAAACTTCTCCGAACGGCGGTTGCACGATCCTTTTCCCTTTTTGGGAAAAGGGATCTTCCTTTATCAAGGAGAGATCTGTTTGATTCTGCCCTTTTCGGAACAACGTTCCGCTAACAATGAAATACACGATGGAAACATTGATTATACGGTTGTTCAGGGAGCGAAAGAAAAGGGGAAGAGTTGAAGATTTAAGAGCTGCTAATTAGTGTCTCGGGTTATTTTTGACTCGACTCCGAGCACACACGTGCAAACTGTTATCACTGCTAACACAATCCTGGTTGTAACGCGAATAATGAGAGACAATTTAATTAGGAAGGACTATACGCGGATTCAAAAATATCGCTTCGAAATGAATGTCGATTCGATATGTTTATTTAGAATAAATGTATATGCGTGCGTGCGTGTGTGTGTGTGTGTGTGTGTGTGTGTTTGACATAATACTAAATTAAATTGATATTGATATTAGTCCTTTAACAAATATATATGTAATTATATAATATATACATAGATATATATAATATATAAATGCGTATATGTTTGTTTAAATATGGAGAACTATACGTGAACGTATACATACAGGTTTGTTTAAATATAGGAAATTACAGGTTTAATCATACGCGCGTTAATATGCAAAAACGTACATTTGCATAGATAAGTATTTCGTGTAACACATATATTTTCCACCTCTCGTAAGTGAAACAAACGATATAATTTATTCGAAAATATCGAGCGTCGCGATTTCAATAATTTTAAATTAAAAAAAAAAAAAACAAAAAAAAACTGAAAAAGTCTGAAACTTTTAACTTATATACGCGATGAATATATATAAATCCTATTTTTTTTATCGTTAATTAAACACCGAGATTCTATTTTAACAAAACTCCGAATTTTGCAAAAAATGTTTATGTAAAGAATATTGAAAAATTTATAGAGAGAAAGACAGATATAAATGTAATTTCGGCGAATATTAACAAAAAACAAAACAAAACTCTCTCTTTAAGGTTGCGAAGTACGAAGAAGAGATAAAAAGAGACCGTAAAAAAATTATAAGACCCGTATCGAACCAAATCTCATCGATTATTTATTTTGTTTTAGCGATTAGATAATAAAAGAATCGGGATCGATTTGATCGGGATTGATTTGATCTTTTTGTTTGGCGCATATCTTTTCAAAATGAATGTAAATCAAAGATATAGGTTTTATAACAAATTTTACTTTTCTCGCGAGCGATAAAACAAAATCGCCCGTAGTGCAACCGGCGGAAGAGGAGACAGACAGACAGACAGACCTCTGTGGCGCAAACGACTCACGGAGGTTGATCAGCTACATCGATCGCGCTTTGATTGGCTATTCAATCCGCCAGCTAGCGAGAGATATCGTCTTTCATTACATACAAACCTGCATGATACAATCGTAGCTATAATAAAGATACAGAAGAGAGATTAAAGGCTAACCGACGTTGGTGCAACCGGCTCGACTTTGCGGCCGCCTTTTGTCCCGTTCCGGCTTGGTAGTCGACGGTTTTCCCTTCCCGACCTGTTCTTGAATCTTGAGTCATTCTCCGGGCACCCGGAGGTATACCTGAAGATCATCAGATGCGTCTTCTCCGTCTCTCGTAGTTTTTATTCTGGTTTTTCTTTTTGCATCTACAGAGCGTGAATATAAATTATGACTGGTAGTAATTCCTTGAGACGCGCGTAATTTATTGCTTCACGTACGCGCGCGTTTGTCAGATACGATCTTTCAAAATATCTAGTAGCTGATCTCTCTTGATGAGATTCTCACTGTTGCCGCGTTTTACTAGATTTCTCAGAATATCGTTGAAATAATATAACCATTCGAATTTCGTCTCGTTCTATAAACGGAAACGGCGAAAAGTCAAGAGTGCATATTTCATTGCGACTTAAAAGTTCGTTAAATTTTATGCATCGCGCACAATTGCGTATTTATTTTGCTCCTGCCAATTTCATATCAGAATTTTGATTATCGCAATATTATCCGAATTACGTTGATTAATTTGTTATATTACGCGATAATTAATATTTCCGTTAACACTCGCCGAGAGGAATTCTTGTTCGAGATGCAACTCGACGAAATGTACACCGACACCGGAGTAATAGGCGAGCTACACACACACACACACAAACATACACACGGTGCGCGCGCGCGCACGCACACGTAATTTCGAATGTCAAAGGTCATAATCGATCGCACGCGTAATTGGAATCTAATGAGACTCGGGAGAGAAACCATATTTTGCTATGACAAATGATCGTCGTCATTTCCTAAAAGGTACAGCTCGATTCCTCTCTTCTAATAATATAAACGCGCGGGTTGAACGACGACGATCATATTCGTGTGTGTGCGGAGCAATTTAATAACAAACGATACAATATTCACCTTAAACGGAATAATGCGTGTCAGAATTGCCTCCCCCGGCTCTCCTCGCGGGCGCGTCTCATTAGTCATCTTGAGTATATTTGGAAACCAATTTAGATGTCGTCTAAACGTCGTTATCATCGACTCCGAGTCGCGTTGTGAGATAAGACAGTGAAGATAAGAACAATGAGAACGGATGATGTTTCACCTGAGAGATATAGGTATGACGGCGCGATGATTTAATTGCGTTGAGCGCAAAGTCTTGATACGCGCACACACACACACACGTATATAGAGTTATTTACATTACTCTTTTATGTATTCAACGTTGCGAGCAACAGAGAGAGAGAGAGAGAGAGATGGAGGAAGTTTTCGAGATCAATAACCGCGGATCGTATTTAAGATAACCGCAGCAATGAGATAAGTACGCGCAAACACACATCTCCGGTTGATCTCTTCGGACCGAATCGAAAACTCGATCTACGTGCCTCGATCTTACGTCGTCCCTTTCTCGCTTCTAGAGAAACTTTTGAACTTTTTTGTTCCACAAAGAAATAATTTCTCACAAAGTCATTGCGATCGAAGAAATATCTCTTTATTTTTTTGGAGAAAAAACAATTGTCTCGGTTATACAGTCGTGAATATTTCCGTGTCTGAGTTTTTTTTTTTTTTTAACGCGATGAAGAGACGACGTGTCACATTTTCGTGGCGCTTTGTAAACCTGTGAATAATTTAACTCCGGCTTGTGTGTTATTTCTCGTTTTTGTGTCGGTAAGGTCTNTTTTTTTTTTTTTTTTTTTTTTTCAAGATACGAAGTTTTTATCGCGCACGGTATCGTGCGCGCGTTCGCTCCGCGAGGAAAATTCGTGTCGACTCGAACAGGTTTTCGACGCGGTAGTTTTCGAGATTTTTGATGATGACGCGTGTATTAAACACATATACATATACGCTCGAAATCCAGGATTTGGAAGAGATTCTCCGCATTGTTGCAGCACAAGCGCTTAGTCACGCCAATAGCTCAAGCCGAATAACCATGGTTAGGCGCGATTCGTTGTGTGTCTCCTCCCTCCTCTCTTCCTTTCAGTGAAATTACAGTTCCTACCTGTAACGCAGGTTCTCCCACCGCTATCGAATGTCGTTTCACAGCCGCAGATGCTTCGCAGAGAGACAGGCGGGAATAAATGGCGATTGCCCCGTTGTGTGTGAGAGACGCGGCAAAGTAGTTACGGAATATAATTCAATGTTAAAAAGAATCTCATTAAAACATTTACAAATAGGTAGGCGAAACGGGGGAGGGGGGGAGGATGTAAAACGAGAGAGAGAGGAGAGGTGGAAAATATCGGTGTTTCGATCGCGTTTTTTTCGAGGCGAATCTCTCTCTCGTGGACTTTCCTCTTCGCACAAATCCCCCCGTCGGGAACTTCTTGATTCCCCGACTAAAAAAGTTCGAGACATCTTTATTTTTCTGAAATTGAAAGATTAAGACGACAAATACGCACGGAATCGTTGGATTGATGACGCAACTCGCGCAACAATTTCTTTGTTAAGAGATACAATATATATATAATTTAAACGCGACAAATATTACTTTCAGGTTTTATCTCGACGATTTTGTTTTTAAATCTCGTTTAAAAGAAGCGCGTTTATATCAGGGCAGATGTTCAGCCCGAACTCACGCACGGCGCGAGTATCAATACGTAATTATAATATCGCGATATCGATGTCATTTTTCCGCGAAGTGTCACAGGATCGATATTCGCGTCGCGGAATGTGGGCTACGAGTGTTCTCTTTCCTCGGACGCGCGCGATCTCGCGAACGAGCGAGACGACGAGAAGAAGAGAGAGATCGTTCGCGTCGTCGTCGTCGTCGGACGTCGCATCGCTCGTGACGAAGCGCGACGGTACACGTGTACCTCATTAAATAATGCATATCGACATTATCTTTCCATTCACGTGGCGATATCTACGTGGACGCTTGTCCGTCGTCGTCGCGTGTCTCTAACTCGCTCACGCGCGATATGTTTTTCCGTTTCTATAGCCCGGGGGGGATTCCCTTCTTCATTCCGAGGTGTTTCGACCACGGCGGTGGTGCGTTTGTCTGGTTGCATCGCGGATCTGCGACTTTCCTTTTCGCGCGCTCTTGATTCCCGGCGAGGGAAAAACGTCATTTCCTTCCCGCGAGTCGTCTTCTCGAATGTCCGTTTTTTTTTTCCGATCACATTCATGGCGAGATAGAGATCGAGTTTCGCACTGCAAGCAAACGTAAAGGTAAAGATCTTTAGATCTCGCGTAGTGTTTGCGCGTGTTTGCGTGCGTTGGTGTGATTATAAAAAACGAAACATGTGAAAATTTACGTGATTTTTTTTTATATTTTTTTTATACAAGACAGTTTTACACTCGTCGTGTTACTCTTCGGAAATGTTCTTTGGGAGAGAAGAAGAAGAACAGTGAGAGGTGAACGTATTGTGTGCGCGTTTTCTCCGCGCGCGCGCATGTTGCGTGATGCACAGTGATATCGTAATATCGGTAGTTTTGGTTTCAGTTCCTTCGCGCTTCTTTCTCACGGGACTTTCTGCCGATTAAACACGTTGGTAACTCTCTCAATCCGCAAACACACATCGGAAAATGAAGGGTGTGGGAGAGGGATTTAGTGGTATATCTTTTTCTCTCTACGTTATTGATTTTGACGGAACAATTGTATTAAATTTCGATGCCCACATGAGAATTATATAGCGTGATGTGGCAGCTTTGCGCGCGACAAACATAAGGGAGAGATTTTCCCCAATCCGTGAAATGAGAACGATTCCACGAGAATACGTTTTATATGTACATATGTGTGTGTGTGTGTGTGCGTGTGTGTGTGTACTCGTCCCTTTACCTACCTACAAGTCCCACAGAAAGGGACTTCGTGTCGCCCACATTTTCGTGATATTGATTTCATCGAGCAAATGAGTAATTTACGAGGACTCGTTACGCACGTAGGACTCGTATTGTACTTGTACTCGTGCATGCGTCGCTATGTCATCAATTTTTCCCCCGGTGACGGGGATAATACTTTATAATTTCGATTCCAGAAAACCCATAACACGTTATGTTCTGTGAATTGACCGAGGCTAAGAATCGTCGCGAGAGTTCTAATGGAATTGGATTAAATTTAAACCCCGCGTGATTAGATTATCTATTATCTTATTTGTCTTCATACACGTATGTCTATTATCTGTTATATATATATATATACACTCCGTTACATAGACACGTTACGTATCATATACTTGCGTCAAATTGGAAATTCAATAATTAACTTAATTAGACTCTCGGAACACATATTTGTCCCGGAGAAAGAGGAAATCTGTAATTTATTCGTCTTTGTCCCACATTTGTAATTTTCTCTCTAACCAATTTATACATAAATACACAAATGAAATTTTTTTTTTTTTTTTTTTTTAATTCCCGTATTAATTTGTCTGTTTATCTCGATCTCTTTTATTATTTTTACGATAAGTGATATTGGCGCATAATCCGACAAACAATATCGTTTCGCTATTGTTTGCGTCGCTTTGCTTAATGCCACGTATTTGGTTTTAAGAATTTTCCGAAAGAGGTAAATAAACCTTATTTTATCTATCTCTTATCTGACTATACACATCGACGCGGTTATCCACGCTTGTCTGTCTCCCTCCACTGTTAACGCTACGTGCTCTATCGTCGTACACGTGGCCCGTACTACTTTTCATACCGCTTACATACCGATCTACTTTTAGTATTTGTTATTTGCGCGCGATGTCTCGTTGAAGAGTAACTTCCCTTTTTTTTAAATAATATATATACACGTATTTGTACGTATAGAAACTTTGTTGTTTTTGGCCCTTAGGTCTAAAGCCAAGAGACTTGGTTTTAATAATTCCTAACCTACCACATTCACACCCTCACTCATACAATCTCTTCTTCTACCCTTTTAAATAATATATATATATATATGTACATATTCATCTCATTACTATTTGTTTTAATCTACATTTCCCGCTGTGTGTGTTAAATGCGGCGGAATCGCGAAATACGTACGTACGAGAGATCGATAGCAAATATGTACGTGAACCGTGTCCGACGTTTGAAACGGGATGTTAATTTTATTCCAACGTGGTTGTTACATCAAATAAACCTTCTAGATTAGCTTAGTCGAAAAAAAAAAAAAAAAAAAATCAGATACACCTCGATACGCTTCGCGTGCGTGAGAAATTCGTTCGCGGTCCGTGTCGTAATTTCGAAATATATCGCGTGTAATAAATGTGTGCGTATGTGTGGTTTTTTTTTTTTTTTCAGGATGCAGGAACCGACGGCATTCCCGCACCGAAAAGGGATCCTCGCCCCAGTGCCGGTGTTGGTGCTGCTGATACTACCATTGGTCGATTTACCCTCCGCAAACGGTGAGTCACCCACGAACGAGTATTTGTGTGCGCATATATAATATATAATATACATATATATGTATATATATGATACATACATATATATACATATATATATATATATATACACGAGTGTATACACGTGCAATTGCACGCTCTCACCGAGAGACGTCCTCGATAATGCGCGAACAATGAGGGAACGGCAAATAATTACGCGCGTCCTTGAGCGCCACTTTACCGAGTCGTCTTCTTTTCACATGCCCGGAGGGATGATGCCGTGATGTTTGCCGTCACTTTAAAGAATGTTAAAAGGCCTTTTGAGATCTGTTGCATCAACGGTGTCAAGTGCAGCGTTATTGAAGTGAAGTCATCATCAAGTCGCCGAGCGACGCAGCAGAGGCAGCGCCTGTGGGAGCAATTCGAATAACGTTTTATATTGCGGTTAATCCCTGGTTGTTAATAGAAATGTTTATTTCATTAGTTACGGGTATGTGAAAAATAATAAAAGAGGGGGGAGTCGAGGGGGACTTTTATATTCAGTCCGCGAAAATTATTTGGATAATTCCCATTCGAATATTGCGTGCGCCAAAATAAATTCATATTAATCCGGGATTTGAATGCTTTTATTATCTTTATTATGTCTCTCGCTCTCTCTCTCTCCCTTTCTCTCACTATCTATCTCTCTTCTCTCTTCTCGGACACGACAAACAATATAAAATATTAATCATTGGAATTTTTTTTTTTTTTTTTTTTTTTATTACCTTTAGTTACGCGGAAAAATATCGCGATATTCACAGAGATGAGTGCGCGCGTATTCGGTATTAAACGCTTTGATGTTTTCCGTTGAAAAGTGATTTATTAACAAGAATTTAATTCGTTTCGACAATTTGCCGGACAATTTGTTGCGATCTCTTTTAAACGCAGTTTTTTTTTTTTTTTTTTTTTTTTTTCAAGCAGAAAATTTAAACGCCGAACATCAATATTAAATATCAGAACGAGCAAATTCGCATTTCGAATTGAGAAATTAAGTGTACGATTAAAAAAAAAGAAACTCGCCGAACAGACACGTCTCTCTTCTCGTTTGCTTGAATTCTCTCGAAGGACGAAAAAAAAAAACTTATCGTTTCAAATCAATTCCAACTTCCGAATCACTCGGAAGGATGGGCGCGATGTTTCCGGAGGAGAAATGTTTTCAAAAATATCGTAACGCGCGCGCGCGCGCGCGCGATCCTGACATTCTAAAAGCAGTGTATACACTTAAAACTTTAGATTTCGGAACGTCCCACTTCCTTCGTTGCAGAAGAAAAAGCTATTCATCATGCTTTCCCGGGGGGGTTAAGAGTCGTCTCTTGTATTTCCTCGTGTCTCCACCCGATTTGGACTCTTTGCGCGCGCGGGACCACTCCGCGCCGTGTGAGCGTGAGACGCGCACACTCGCGGCGCTCGTTAGCTCGTTAACGAGTGGTCTCTCTCTTCCCCCTGCCTTCTACGGCTTCGCGCCTCGCGCGCCCGCTCGCTTGCTCGCCTCTTCTCAAAAAGAGCTGTTAACCGCGCGCGCGACGAGACGAGACGAGACGCGCGCGCGAGGCGACACAAAACCGCCGCCTGTCGAGCGGCTGTCCGCGCGTTCGCAGTATCTGTCGCCGGGTTCTCGAACAAGAAGAGCAACACGACAGAAACTCACAGGGGCGTGCGAGAGAAACGAAAGGGAAATGTCTTGTGTGTCCTCTCTTTCCCTCTCTCCTTCCCGCCCGCCCTCACCCGCGGCTCGAGATAAATGATGTTCCTTCGACGAAAGATGCGTGTCTAAAACGGTCGACGACGTCTCTTCCTCGCGCTTTTCTCCTCTCTCTCTCTCTCTCGCTTCTGCTCTCGCGTTCCGTACGTGCGTCGCCGAAGTCGTTCGGGTTCGCGTATTGCGATGGTGCACGTGCGCGCCGCCGCCGCCGCCGCCGCCGTCGCCGTCGCCGTCGCCGTCGCCGTTGTGACGTTGTACACAAGGTGTCGCGGAATTTAATTTCTCGAATTGCGCCGATGAGCCCTCACCGCGAGCCGAAGACTCGGTTCGCTTTTGCACGAATCCGCAAAATAGAGGGGCGGGGAGATAATAACGAAAAAAAGAGTTTTATACTCGCACACGAAATATTCAGAACTGAAACGTCGCCTCCCAGACATTTGAATATTTTAGTGCTCTAATTAGAGGGATGATGAATGTTGACTGTTACGCGTAATGGCCCTCCCGCCAGAAATTTTCCCCTCGGGGGAGGGGAAACAGCGACTCCATTTTCCGTCGATGTGTGTCCGTCATTAATATTAAAGTCTCGGTTCTGGGGAACACCCTGTAGACGTTGTCGCGTGTGTATCCCATTTCCCTTCGCGCACACCCTCCCGGATACCCACCTTCCCCCGCACCGTCGTTCCTCTTTCTCTCCCTTCTCCCCGGCTATTTCTGACATTCGCCACCGTTCTCGCGCCGCCGAGCGAGAGCGGCGGCAACCACCCCGAAATGTGTACGCGTTGTTCGATCGAACGCACTAAACATCGCCGGTAAATATACGCAACTGCCGGGGACCTTAACCTTCCTCTCCCCCCCGCCCCATCTCCGGCTCCTTTGGCTCGCTTGACATTTAAGCGGCTCCGGAGCCCATAAAATTCACCGTTCGAAGACTAGTATCTATCCCTGAACAAGTTCCTTTTTAATTTAAAAAAAAAAAAAAAAAAGAAAAAACAAACAAAAACAAATCGCTTGAATTGTGCAAGTCAGAGGAGAACGCGCGATGACGACTCTTGCATGTTTCATCTCACATTTTCCTTTGATATCTCGCGGGACACAAAGGACACAAATTCTGAAGTTCGAAAGTGTAAAACACTCTTCTTCTTCGGTCGTATTCCCGTCTATTCTTGTCGCGGTTGTAACTACACACAACGGTGATACTTTTACGCGCACTGTGTGTGCGCGCGCGTGTTCGTCGTTTTGCGGGAAGTAAAGAACCTTATTATTATTGGGACGCATCTGGCCGAAATAGCTCTGACGGATTAAAGCGCTTAAGGAGCTTAATGATACACTTTTATTATTTTAAATCCCGGAGGCGCTCGATCGTCCGCGACGCGAGTTCTGCGCGCTGCTCTATCAACTCTCCGCATTCTCCTTTTTTTTTTTTTTTTTTTTTTTCCCTCGATTCGTTAACCTTGTCTACTTTACCGAGTCTGAAAACTTTCCGCTAGAGCGTTCTCGTTCTGTCTGACAACTTTTCGCTAGAACTCGCTAAATAGCGTCGCTCGGCGCGGTCGGTGGACAAANTTTTTTTTTTTTTTTTTTTTTTCCCTCGCTCTGTCTCTCTCGTACACTATAGCGCGTCTGAAAACTTTCCGCTAGAGCGTTCTCGTTCTGTCTGACAACTTTTCGCTAGAACTCGCTAAATAGCGTCGCTCGGCGCGGTCGGTGGACAAAGACAAACAGCTAGCTAGCAGCACCGGATGCCTGGGAAAATGACGAGCGAGAAGTTGTTAACTTCATTTTTTTTTTTTGTTCCAACTCTCGCGCGCGTTCCAAAGCGTGTAGCGTCGCGGTCGCGTCGCGCCTTCGCCACGTATCGCGTTCCATTTGCGTTCGTCCGGCGACTCTCACGGCCCCGACCGCGGTCCGGCCGTAATTGAGTATTGGGCCCGATAGCAATTTTCTAATCGTCCGCTCCTCTTATTAATGGAAGCTCCGGTTCACGTACGGTCTCTTAATTCTCTCAATCAAGCGACTCTCTTTCTCTCTTTCTCTCTCTCTCTCTCTCTCTCGATCTTTGAGTTCGTTACCTGAACCGTTTCTCGGTCGAGAAAAAGAACGCGCGTTGTTCGATGTACGCGGAGTTCTTTTTGGACCCGAAACCCGTTTCGCGCTAAGAAATCCGAGCGGAGAAGAGTTCAATCTCTCAAAGAGTGGTCACAGAAAATTTAACGTCACATCCCCAGACTTGTCAAACGCGTCTTCGCGAAACGCGTTGACGAAGAGTTCGTTCTCTTTTGTGTTCCAGGAGCCTGCGAGTTTCCCTCGAGTTGGACCGGAGAATGGTACCAGTACGGCAAGTCCGTGTTCTCTATAAACTCAACGAACACCACCCTCGGGGATAAACAGTGCGTCGAAAGTGCGGACGATAAATACATCCTGTAGTAAGTGCACATATACCGCCGTCGTTTTAAATGTGTCGTCAGAGAGTTTCGTTCAAACAAAGTCGAAGGAAAATAACGCGCGCTGAATTTATCGCTATGTGCTTTCGTTCGCGAACTGTTTTCACACTGCAAACGACGCGCGCGTTCTGATGACAGAAATATTAATTTTTTTTCCCCTTTCACACACGCAGTTACCCGAACGAGGACTGTTACGAATGTATGATCATCACCGGACGGCACGACAATGTTATTCAGTATCGCGAAGGTACGTGCGATATTTTATATTCCTCTTCCATTCGGAAGATTCTTGGAGATTGCGAGGAAATTTTGTGTTTTGATCGCCAAAAACAAATAAAAAAAAAAAAAAATAGTCACCGAAATATTATTTCCCCAGGTTGGTGCAGACAGGAGGATCGTGCGGGAATAAATCTGGAGGAGCTGTGCGTGGACATCACGTCGGACGACCCGCTTTACTCCATCTTCCGCATAAATTCAAAACCGATTCCGTGTCCGTTCAGCGGAAGCTCGTTCACGTTCACGTATAATCGGGGTTACGGCGAGTGCGCCATGCCGATCAGTCTCGCGGAGAAATGCACCGACGAGAGCAAATTGCTCCTCAAGTATCAGGCCTGCCCGGACGTCGACGGGACCGAGAGTAACAGTACGTATAAATATACGCGTCTGTGACGATATTTTGATTTGATCATCAACGTTACAAAAAAAAAGGTATTGCGTATCACATCGTGCGTGCGGCGTCTACTCGTCGAGTACAGGTGGTAATTGTCTTTGCGCGCGAGAGCGTCTGAATAGCGCGCGTTGATGAACTCATCCAGGAGAGATAGTTTGTTTTTCTTCAATGTTGCGAGAACAGAAACGTACCGAATAATCTCGATATTCGCTCGGTAACACGTTTTCGATGAGCGGCTTTGAAAATTTATGTTTGAATCCGTTAAACGACAAAGAGTAGATTTCTCTGTGTGTTTTTATTGGATTACGTTTTTGTTTTCGTTGCAGCCGAGGAGCTGCAGTGTCTCGCCGTTTGGAACGACGGTCGAAATAAATATCTGGTTGGGACCCTGAAGGGAAGGAGCGCCGTGGGCAACGGGAAGACTTACAGGTGAGACATTTGAATTCCGTCTCCGGCGGAATCACACTCCCTCTTCGCGACTTTTCGATGTTGTTGTGTTGCGCGATTTTCGTTGCATCGTGGTTGCACTTGCACGCGCGCGCGTCGAGTTGCTTATTTTACCGCCCATCGCACCTGTAACAGATGCCACTTGATGCCAGATGTTTTGCGCACTGCGGTTTCAGCATGTCACATTTTACGATGAGGGAAAGAGTTACGACTGGCGAATTGCGGCGACGTGAAAAAAGATGGTTAACCGCTCATTTGTCGTATTTCGCATAGTCGTTATAATAATTATATTAATTTAACGAGTCTGTGCACTGTGTGTGGCTTCCCATGGCTTTTTTCTCTTGTTCTCTCCGTGATATGTATTGTACATGTGAATACGCAAAAGAGAGTTCGAAGTTTTAAAAAATTACCAAAAAAGATAATTTTTTTTTTTAATTTCCTTGTAGGTGTTTCTTGTACGAGGAAAAACCCCATCGTCAAGGAAAGATAAATTATTTACTCGCTCAATCTGGCGATCCAACCTGCACCGGCCTAACGACCGTTTTCGAAGGCTCGTCCACCATAAAACTGATGAAAGGTAATTACGCGAATAAAATAAACAATCTCTTCTGTAAATAGTTGGTGATGATTCTGTTATCTCTTTCGTAGAATTTATCGCAATTTTTGTGTGTGTTTATGTATACATATATATATATCTGTCTGTTAAACAGTCGACAAAGAGCATAGCAGATGCAAATATCCGGCCTGGGTGACTCAGCACCATGACTGGCACTCTCTCGATGACACGAGGAACTACCATTTCACGAGCAAGAACGCCACGTTGAGAGTCACTCATCTGAATGCCGCACAGACGCAGGATGCCGACGGCGAAACTTATCACGAGGAGAAGATCGTTTGCCACAATTTGGAGAAATTAAATCCGAACGACAATATGCAAGGAAACAAAGTGAAACTGGTCGCTCATGTTACCAGCGGCTGGTGAGGGGATATTTTTCAATTCTCGTTTTTCTCTTCGCGAAATCTCGCGATTGTTACAATTGATTTTTATTTATTGTGATTGCAGCGACATCGGTTACGTCTGTATGATATTCCACAAGAGAGACAGTCATGTCATCGAGATACAACAATCAGGTGAGTGTCACACTTTGACACGCTGTTTCGGGAATCCGTCTGTACACGCGGTTATGTGCTAACGCGTAAATTTTTCTCTTTTTACTCTAGATCAAAAAGCGATTATGCCAGACGAGGCGTGTTCCATCTCGGATCCTTCCACAATGCCGTACACGACCTTAATAAGTAAGTGTGCTAATCTCCGATGTGCGTCGTCGCTCATTAATATTGATACAGGAAAATCTGCGCGGTTCTATTGTTATTGCATTACGCGACGGATGAACAGCTTACGTAACCGTATGCAAATTTGTGTTTATTTTCGTTCCACAGCCTCGAACCTGCATCAGAGGAGATGTCCTAATCCGGGACAACGATACGCGATGATCTTGGATTTCTCTTCGTCTTCGTTGCCCGACAACACGGGTCACAGACGGCAGCGGCGTGACGACAAACCGTCGAGGATCACCAAGCGACGAACTTGGCAGGAGGACGACGAGTGCAGAAACACGAACATCCAGATCGGCTGCACGTCGTCCGATCAGTCCGAGATGATATTCGCCAACACGTGCGAACACGATGAGAGTAAGTGCAGATCAAATTTTGCGCGATCACTTTTTGCAATTTTGCAAAAAAGAGAAGATTCGTGTGTGTAATCGATGTGAGACAAGAGAAGCTAAGGACGATACGTGTATTTTGGCAGCCTATTTCTGTCACGGCAGCTGGGAGGAGAAGGGCACATGGTACACGATAGCGTCGAAACCGAAGGCCGTTGGCGTACCGGGAGAAACTTTTTGTTTTTCTATGCGTCTCGAGACCGTTAGGGACAAAGCCACGGGGAGAGGCGACAGGCAGAAGCAACAGAAGCAGGAGCTCTGGCACTTGAATTCGTCGCGCACTTGTCAGGGGAATGTCGAAGACATATGGACGTATAAACTCTCGAGTCAAGGTAATTTGTGTGTTTTCAACGCTGTTAAAAATATCAGTAACAAAGATATTACTGCCATTCGCCAATCATATATTGACATTTAATACAAAAAAAAATAAATAAATAAACAGTGATAAAAGGTAAAATGATCGCAAAAACATCTTACTGAGATACATCTTACGGTTACTTATTCGCGTCTAACGTTTGATATTATATAAACAACCTAATTACGACACTTTACGACGTAGCCTGGTTTAAAGACACCACAATGCTTTTAAACGCGCAAACATATTACGACCGTATATGCGCGTAAGCGCGATATAAATATTCAACATTTACATTGTGTTACAGGAGTATGCAAGGACTTAACGAAGGTAGTCTCGAGCGCGGCGCCCGCCCTGTCGTTGTCCCGGTTTCTGTTTACCTTAAGCATAGCGGCTTACGTCGCTATTAATACGCTGCACGTATTACTCTCGAGATGATCTGCAGCTATTACGTAAGAGAAATCAGGGGTTACTATAATTTCCAGCACGAATTCTCAGGTATTGCGTGTTTCTGGAAGTGTACATAGCTCACACACATACACACGTACACACACACACATATACACATATTATTTGACAGCTATTGATCGATCAAGCTGTCAATACGCGAAAGAGTGACGTGGGGGAGCAGCGTGCAGCTAACAGCTATTATCGACAATATTAATTTCCGTTCCGTTTGAGCAGCCTAATAACGCAAACCCGGCAAATTATATTATACCCCCGTTGAGAATGAGACGGTCTATACACGCCATTCTCACGAGTGTTGTACAATTATTTTTTTTACTACATTATATACATATATATATATATATATACATATATATAATTTATCGCGTGGCTCGTGTTCTCTGGTACGAGATCGCAAAAACTTTATAGACTACTAGCGTTTCTCCGATAGAAACGTGCATTATATATTATATAGATAAGTAATTACTACCGCTTGAATTGTTGACTGAATTGCAAGCGTTTTCGCGACGGTTCTGTTTTGCGCGCGTATATATAAAACTTCGCCCGCAAAAGGGAACGACGAATCCTTTCCTTTGCGCGAAATAGTATAACGACGTATGCAGGACTGGGTAATATTAAAAATGTGTGTACATTAAAATTATACATTTTCTCTCTTTTACACAAAAAATGCGTATTTCAAATACAGATATATACTTTGCGAAGACTTATATTTCAAAGTATGAAAAACGCTGTTAAAAATGTGGTTTTAAGAAACAAAAAAAGAAATACAAAATGTGTACGATATTCTTTCGGAAAATTTGCTTCAAAGTGCGAGGTAACAATATTTCGCAAATGTATCACGGAGATATTTATGTACGTGTGTCGTTAAACGTGTATTTGGAATACTCTTCCTAGCCCTGACCGTACTTTTTGAGATTACGGAGCGCGTTGTTTTAAGCCTCGGAAATCGCGACTATTTGATGTAAGTCTAAACTCGAGAAGAATTATACGGACACACACACACACAGACACACACAAACACTGTATATTCTTAAGTATATTACCGCGCTAAAACGTGTAAATACGACCAGGGTATAAGCAACGGAGATTTTTAATTGGGTTATTTTTTTCGAGGACGCGACGTTTGGGATGCGTGTATCCGAGGTGTAATATTTATAAAATAATATATTATACTTGACATATACACACACGCACATCTAAAACACAACCACCGGAATCGGAACTCGTACTTGGGTCTAACGTAATAGCAACGGAGACATATAGGTTTTATCATTTAGCTAGTAATAATATAAACTCTGTAAATAAGTGAAATATTGTATAAAGAGACTGTTTTTAAAAAAGAGTATATTAACAAGTATGTACCGCTCACACGATATAATAATATTTGCATTTTGTCAATGCGTGCGTTCTCAAGAGATCGGCCTCGCAAATTTAAACAACATCCGCACAAGCACCCGACACTGTCGCCGCGCAAGGATTTGCGCGAATCTTCTCTCTCTCGGGAGAAAAATTTTAATTTGCTCTGTCAAAATCTGTTGACCCTATTCTCGTGAACTCCGCTACACATTTGCTAGCCAATGATTTGTAACAAGAGTAATAATTATAATAATTAATTACATATTTTGTAGCCACAGAAGAAGAAGAGGTCAGAGTTTTTTTTTCAAAGAATTTATCGGCTTTCTAAAAAATGACGAAATGTAGTCCGCAAATTGTCAAAGACCTGGAGGTGTCGTTCACGTTCGCGAGTTTGACGAGACTGTACACCGTCTGTGCGTCAAAAAAAGATTTTTTCCAACGAACTCGATGTGATGCGACCGAGTGTGGTGCGTCTGCGGATGTATATATTACATTGAGACACATATTTGTCGCGCGTGTGTGAAATACAGAGCTTTTGCATTTAGCATAGAGTTACTGGATGTCGGAACAGATCGATCACGTATCTCGTTATTTGCTATTTGTCGTCGATAATACACAATTCGGGGCGTTACGTATCGGGGGGTTTGTGTCACACCCGCGGCTGTACACGTTGTTTGGTGTTAAATCTTTAGAATTTCACTCACGCCGTAATTCGTGTATTACGACGAGCAGACTCTTCCGAAAAATGCATTTGTTGTTTTTTTTTTATTTTTTATCGTGCACAAATACTCGGCCGGCAATTTATAAATTCACTCATTTTATATATTATATATATATATATACAATTATTTTATATGTATATATTATTTTATATATATACATTTTCTTTTATTTTATACATATAAAATTGTTTTTTTATAATATGAGAGAATTGCAAAAATGTTTCGATAACAGACTTGTAGAGAGAAAGAAAGAGAGAGAGAGAGAGAGAGAGAGAGAGAGCAAAATTGTGAGACCCCTTCAACTGACACAACATCGCATTTGCATTTTCAATAAATAAATAACAAAGATTGTGTAAACATTTCTCGAAACGCCGTTTGTTTCTTCTTCAACAAAGTCTCGCAAGACGCCAATTTTCATGATAAAATTCGCTCGCTCGCTCGCAAACACTCTCGCAGTTAAAACATTGATATCGAACTTCTTACTCTTTAAAAACGAATTTCGAAGGTTTCGGTACAAGAATAACGACGCGAGAAGTGGAGATAAAATAATCCACGCAATATTAATGAGACACAAACGGGAGGAAGTCGAGAACACGGTTCATCACGCGAAAAGAGGGTCTCTCAATAGTTTTATATTTTTATCAAATGACACACACACATATACACGCATACATACATCAAAAATATGTATATATATACGGGGGAATTGTATTGATTTGCAACGCAAATATACGTGTGTTACGGAAACACGCGTGTTCGCGCGCGATTAAGGGAGGGGAAGCGCCGGGCAAGAAGTGATAAAAGGTCGTCGTATAAATCATGTACGCGGACACGCGCGCGTTCGATTAACCGTGTATTTCACACACAATCAGATCTGCATCCATTAACTCTGTGATATTCATCATCTAGGCGTAATAAATATAGACAGCCAAAAGAAGAAACGAACTAAGCTGTAACTCGAGCAACAAAAAAAAAAAAAAAACACATTTTTATTGTATATATATCATATATATTTTCTAAATAATGGACTGTTCCGGAATTCAGGAGATTTGTTGATATAAGCGAAAGTGTGTACGGATTCGAATTATTAAATATTTGAGCATTTAAACGTAACGAAGACAGATTATTATTTTTGTACAGATAGGAATTGTGACCTATCGCGATGTCCTAACTCCCGCACATACACACGAACACACTCACATACACACACATACATACACAACACACACACACGAAACTTCATCCAACAGCGAGAAAAAAAGAAACGTAGTCATATATACATACGGAAAAATATATAAATATAAATATAAATATATATATATATATATATATATTTTATGTAAGTTTTTTGTAATTATAACTGTACGCATTTATAATATTATTATATATAGCGTCATTATCTCCGAGAGAAAAAAAAACGAAACGAAGGAAGCAAGTTTTTGACTGTAGAGATTGCCTTATTATCTCATCGCTGTCATTAATTATTTTCTCATTAATCGTTTATTAAGATATTATCCAGCGTGTATGTGTTAGTGTATACTTTTGTATTGTACTGTACGATTATTGCGTTTTTTTTTTTCTGTTTGATAGTTTTTTGGTTTTCGTTTTGTACGACGCATTTCGAGGACGAGAAATCTTAAATGTAATTACAGATACAGTGCAGGCCTTGTTACTTTACGCGCGTTCGAATGCGAAACAGAAACGACAACCGATGCCTTAACTATACAATTTCTAATGCCTTATGCGAATATCTCTTTCTCTCTCCCTCCCTCCCTCCCTCTCTCCCTCTCAACAAAAATACGAACAGTTCATTATACTTTTCCACCGGGAATGTATCCGTGTATGTGTATCCGAGTTTTTCCTTGGTATAAAGAAAGTGAAAAAAAAAAAAAGAAACAAATTTCGCGACGAAGTTCGACGTACTTGCGTGCGTGTTTTTAAGCTAGTTTTAAATTCTCATCTCCCACACACACAGCGTGTGAACGTGTGAAAGAGAAAAATCATTCTCCCCTCCCTCTGTGTACTCGATGCTGCGACTGTATTGAATTCCGGAAACAGATATTAACGATCGCGATGTAACTTTAATCATTCTAAGAGTAAGCTCTAATTTGTAAGGCATAGGGGAAGAAGCGCGAGCGCGGTAGTCGCGAGAGAAAATGCTCGCGCGGAAGGAATAAAAAAAAATGAAAAAATAAAAAAACTAATGAGACGAACGCGGGGAAAATAAAAAAAAAAAAAAAGAAAAAAACAAAGAGAGAAATACAAACGGGAAAAGGACGAGATAGAGACAAACTCACGAGTTTTGTACATTCACATGCGCACACGATATGATTTTTGTTCATTGCTGTGATGAATTTACGTAATTATAAATATTAGCGTGTAAGGCGGTTTCAAGAAGAGGAAGAAGAAGAAGAAGAAAACAATGCGACTTTTCTTGCCATTTTACATATAATTGCAAACATTAGTCACACCACGTTCGCGGATGTAAGTCTCTCTCTCTCTCTCTCTGAGAGACAAAGAAAGAAAAGAAACAAAGAAACCCCCGTACGAGATATGAAACGACGATCTATTTATTCTCGATGTATTTAATTATGTACGATACTTAAAAAAAAAAAAAAAAAAAATACCCATACTACACACAACGCGGCATCCTTGTAAAGCGCCTTTGGATAAAACACGAACTATCGTCTGCGAACACATCATCAGGCGACGTAATCGTTGCCGCGTACGACGTAAATTTCGTACAGAAAAGATGAAGTAACGAAAAAAAATAAAATAAAATAAACAAACAAAAAAAACCCACAAAACACAGATATCCGATTTATTTTGCTACGCGTGCGAAATTATTGCGAGAGAAAAACAAACTGCGCCCGAGATATAGATACACACAAATGTCTTATCCTCGCGCGAAACTGACACACGGTACTTACTCAACGACGCTAATAACAGGGAGAACTTTTTCTTAATAAATAAAAAGATTACTGCCAACATATTGTGTGTCGTGTGAAAGACGTTTCACGTATTTTATTTATCATCTCTCCCTTCCTCTCTCTCTCTCTCTTTTCATCCTCTCGCTCTGTCACAACAGGAGTAAAATCTAGAACGCGGGTGTGTAATGAAATTTTAAACTATAGGCGATACATATGCGTGTGCGTGTGCGTGTGCGCAAGCGAGAAATATGTATATGTTTGTACATATACATATCACACGCGCGTTCTAATGGAAGCTAATTTTTGCGCGAACTGATTTATTCAGCGAAAGAAATAGTAACTCATTCGGCACGTATAACGACGATTCGCGTGACTGCAACGAATTCATTTTCCTCGCGCAACACATGCAAGATGAATGCCGGATGATTTAAACTACGCCGTTTTATAGCCGCTCGCACAACAACAACACCCGGTCGCGGCGTTAACTCCCCGATATAAATTAAACTCCCTTCCGGGGAGCGCGAGTTGTCGAAGAACGGAGAAATTTTCCCGCGATCAGCCAATTTTCTTTCATCTCTCCCCGTTCGGGTAGAAGCTCCCACAAGTTTCGCTACTAATTTGATCTTCCGCCGAGATGAATCTACTTTGCGCGTGTTTCGATCTTTTCGTTTCACCGTAATGATTCTAATTGTAATTAATAGTTTCCCTACTATTTGGGGTAATGACGCGCGTAATTGTGTGTAATCGGACGGCAAAAAGGAATTTTTTCGGTACTTTTCCCCGTTAGCGCGTTTTTTTTCAATTCGTTAATGTCTTTTCCGTTGTAAACGTTGTACTCCTTCGCGATGATAAAGTTGACACTAAAGATCACGTGTCGTAACGCTCGTCAGCATTTACAGTGTGTTTTTGTTTGAAAATAAAAAAATTAGAAAAGATCATAAGATATCAAAAAAATTTTAGACGTAACATACCGAGGAAAACACGCTAAACATTCAAATCCGGAAAATTATACATTTGTGTGAAATTTGCTCTCTTCAAAAAAACAAAAAAACAAAAAAACAAAAAACATTGCAAAGATACAAAGAAAATATGCGGAAGTGTATGCGAAATATGCGGAACACGATTCTACGGACGACAAAACAACAGAGCGACTGCATATCTCTCCGAGCACCGGATCCTTATCAGCCCCCTCGTGAAGCGCGCCGATAAACATGCGCGCCGAGAGCGAGAAAGAGAGAGAGAGAAAGAGAACGAACGGCTGGTGCGCCCGCGATAGGGCGTAGGACCCCGCGCGCACATACTGGCCTAGTCGAAGGCAGGCACCACGTGCTGCTGCCGCGCTCTCTCGACGTATAATCGATAGTGCACCGCGGCCGTTCTCTCTGTGCCACTAGCGGTCAATCAACCCTCTCGCGGCGTTCGGGGCCGGCCGGATGCGATGCGCTTTAAACGGGTGGGCAAGGTGCGACGACGGTGAAAACGCGGTCATCGCCTGAGATCTTCACAGCCGTCTCCTATCTGAGATATGACGGATACAAGCCGCGTGTGATGTTGCTCGTGTGTGTTGCTCTTCATCGCGCTGATTTTCAACCGTAAGTTTCATCCCTTGCGGTCGCAACACAAATACACATCACACACACACACACACACAAATCGAAGAGTTCACGCGAGAGATCGTTCCACCCGCATCTTCGACGAGATTTCGAATTTTCAGTTCCAGTTTCTCTTCTTTTTCATTGCAAAAAGATTTTTCTCTCGGATTTTTTTTTACGATCGGTTGAACATTTCTCTCCCGTCCTTCCCGCACGTTCTCGTTTCGCGTGGAATTTTCGTTTGAACGTGTGAACTTTGACGCGATGAATGACGTTCGTTCGCGGAATTTCGCCGAACTGATGATGTTTTAACGCGGAGAGATCAGCGTTAGAGATAAGGAAAAAATTAAAAAAATAAAGAAAAAATAAAAAAACGACGAAAACTAACATCCCGTTTTCTCGCGACGACGACGTCGAGTTGTTGCAGAAACGTAACGTGTTTTACATCTCGGAGCGCGATTGTTTCGACAATTTTTTCTCGTAGATTTTCCATGGTGTTTTTCATTAAAAAACGAAAACGAAAACGCGTCCTCGCGCATTTTGTTACAGACTAACGATTTGCTCTTACAGCCAGCGCGTTTAGACATACGCGATTACCACAGTTAATTGAGCCCCGAGCTGTCAGTAGCGACCGGCCCGTAAT